ATAAAATATGGAAACCTTCAATGGTGATACAATCAATAATGGTGATAACAGCAAAAACAAAGCAAGAGAAAAATGTAAAACAAATAACAATTGCGAAGGCAGCCACCTCTAAACTACCAAGAATTCAAACAATCTTCTCCACCTTATTCATTGAGCATATATAAAGACTTCAATTACATATGGGAACTAATTACTTGCAACTTTGGTTCCATCTCCATTGGCTTCTCCAGCTATGAGTTAGCTAGCTATCTACAGAATTTTAGCTAAAACACTTGGGCACTTGGATTTTCCACATAGCAATTACATTGCAAGCACGTATGAAATGAGTCCAGATTTGCTCTTCATAAAGTACGTCTCATACCAACCTCACAGGATGTTTTGGTCGCACATCGGGAACATCTCCCATACTGATATTTAATATTTATGGAGAGATGTTTCTAATACACAGTGCGATGTGGCTGTGTGAGGTCAGTTTGAGGCACACTCTGTGGAGAGTAGATCCAAACTCATATAAAATGACTCCATATTTTTCAGATTTAAAAATATCGTTAGTAATTTTTTTGAAACTATGGCGCTGGAATGAATACAACCAGTTCTACATATGAGCTAATCCCTTTTTGGTGATGATGTTATATTTTACATATAAAATATTTCAGATCTAAAGTTTTTAAATTTATTCCTTGATTGGAAGAGATTTGTGGCTTCTCACCAGAAGAAAAGACAAAAGCAATGTACATACCACATAAGAGAAAGTGGTGCTTCAAACAACGCCTTCTCTTGTTTGGTAGCATTTTTTCAAAAAAAAAAAAAATGTTGCTCCAGACAATGCCTTTAAAATCGGGAAAGTATGGTTTGGAGCAACACCGAATTCAATATTTTTTGAGAAAACAGTGCGTTTCTGCCAGTAGTGCAATGATGTGGCATCAATTTAGGCATTGGATAATATAGATCAATGTTGAAATCATTGTTGCCAGCATTGGTACCAAACAAAACCAGTGCTGTTTTCTCAGAAAATGCCTACGTGGCAGCACTGGTTCTAAACAAAAAATAAGAACCATTTTTTGCTTATAACTCCACATGCTCAACACCATTTTTATGAGAACACGGTGCGGTGTTCCCAGAACCGATGGCAAACACCTACAAAATCAATACTTTTTCTCCATTTAGATCCAAGTCAAAGGAGGCATTTGGCTAGTTAGTTAAGTGATTTCAAGGTGAGTGTGCTTGTTGTTTTAGATTGGTTGAGAAAAATGGATCCACTTGCATCATAAGCTTTGAGAGAAAGATGGATGTGGATTTCAAGGGGATTTTGCTAGTTAGTGGTCAAACAAAGAAGATTTATCTTTTATTTACCCCAATGGTGGGTCAGAGCAAATGTTTACTTTGATTTTTTTCTAAGTAAACATTGTACTCATCTTGGGGGCGAATGAGTTGGTATGGACATTTTTGCTTCGATTTTTCGAGCATAATTTCATGTTTAACAAACATCGGCAAAACCGAACCAGGGTGCACATTTCCCCATTCTATGTTTGTATTCCTCAAATACAACCTAAGGTTCAATTGGATAAGAGCTCAAATACAAATATGTACATTACAAATATAAGGTTTATAAATACAACAAAAAAATCCATGATACCCAAAAAAACATGGTACCAGAAGAAATTTGACCAATCAAATACAATATACAACATATTTGTACTCTTCCCACCCAAGGTATCCCTATTATTAGTTTATTATCGGATGCCTAAACCCAAATTCAAATCCACATCAGCCCTCTAAACATGAGTTCACATCAGTGCCCTCATCACCCCACAACACATCTCAACTATGTATTGGGAACATCTCCCTGTGACAACTGATAATACACGGTTGGGATGTGTTGTGGGGCGTTGTGAGATGCCTCTTATGATGCGCTGATGTGAATTCCTTTTCCATTATGAGTTCAAATCTGTGCCCCACGCCCAAGCGCCCCACAAACGTCCCACACAATGGAAGCCTGCCACCTGTTCTCTTGCACAAATTACCCTCTCAACACTTGTGGAGTTAACGGGACAAGCGTTAGTTCCAAAGCTCACCCAAAACCCCAATCTCTCTCCATTCCCGCCCTCAACTCGGAGCTTGTGTGAGAATCATGAACCCCATTCACTCCCTCCATCCAAGCTCGGATCCAACATAATCTCCGACACCAGCAATCGCTCCAACAGTTTCACCATTGTGAGGTACTCTTTGACTCTCTTATATCATCACTCTCTCACACCCATTTCCTTTAGGCTATGTTTGGTTCAAAGGAAATGGTAAGAAAATTAAGGGAAAGGTAGGGAAACCTATACAAGGTTTATAAAGGTTTCCCTATCTTTCCCTTCCTTTCCCTACTTTTTCCTTCAAATCAAACACAACCTTAGGGTTTGATTTTATATTTGATATTTTCTTGTTTTTTAGTTCAAAACAAAGGAGGGGCTATTCATCCACCACCGGTCATCTTCGACGACCACCAATAGTAATAAAATATTTTTGTGGGGCGCAAATTTGAACTCCAGTCTTCAATCCTCACATTAGTGTGTTTATTCCTTGAATCAAAATCCACCTCGTAATGGTATGAATAGCTGAGACAACTGAGCAGAAAAACACCTCCTCCATTTGTCCTCCCAAAGTTCTAGCTAATCGTTTTTTTTTTTTTTTTAATTCGTTAGGTTCCCTCCAAATTGATCGAAAACTAGGGTTGTTCACGAGTTGGATTGGGTCGATTTATTAGTTTTTTTTTTCAATCGACCCGACTTGATCAGGTTACCTAAAGATTAAACCGAAACCAACCCTCTATTAAGCAAAACCAACCTGGTTGGTTTAGGTCGGTTTGGGTCGGTTTTGGTTAAGTTTATACATTTTCTAAATATATATTTCAGCTTTAAATATATATATTTCAGAATTATACATATTATATATAATATTTCAGAATATATTTTCTGGAAATATATTTAAGACTGAAATATACATTTCAGAAATATATATATTTAAAACCAATATATAACTGAAATATACATATTATATATAATATTTCAGTGAGAATATATTTATTGGAAATATATTTAAAACTGAAAAATATATTTCGGAATATACATATTATATATAATATTTCAGTTAGAATATATTTATAGATAAATCGGTTCGGTTTGATTCGGTTTTCGTTTTCACAAACCGAACCGAATTATCGGTTTACCCATCTTATCAACTTGAAACCGACCAGTGGTGAAGAAAAAACCGGCCAAATCGGGTTGGGTCAGGCTGGGTTGGTCGGCTTGGTTTGTTTGAATTTATTTGTGAACAGCCCTACCGAATTCCAACAACAGAAAAGCTATTTGTCATTGCAAGCCGCAAGAACAAGAATTCACATCTTGGCCCCACAAGGAGCTGCCCCACAATGCCCCACAGCACATCCCCGCCGTGTATTGGGAACATCTCCTGATGATAGTACTAGTCTCGATGATGTCATCATCGGGAGATGTTCCCAATACACGACGGGGATGTGTTGTGGGGTGGAGATGTGATTTCCAAGAAGATGCCCTATCACCGAATATGGTTGTTTTACTATTCTAATGCTGTGATAAAATAGAGAAGGGAACTCGAATATTTTTGGGAACCCACGTCTCATCTACATATGAACCGATGGTGAAACTACTAGAGCAATTGTGGGTGTCGAAGATTGTTGGATCCAAGCTCAGATGAAGGGGAGTGAATGGGGTCAGGGTTCTCACATAGGCTTCGAGCTAAGGGCGAGAATGTGGAGAGGGTGGGGTTTTGGGTGAGTTTTTGGAACTAACTGGCCGTCTCATTAGCTTTGCACACACTGAAGGGGGAATTCGTGCAGGATGATATGTGGTGGCGGGCTTCCACTGTGTGGGGCGTTTGTGGGACACATATTTGAACTCTTCCAATACACGGTTGGGATGTACTACCTGTTGTTGGGCTAGGGGTGCAAATGGATCAATCCAAGATCCGGTCCTATTTAGACGAATTCAGATAACCCCTGTTCGGATCTTCGGATCGGATACTAGGATATGAAATTACATCTTATTCGGATCACCCCTTATCCGATTCAAGAAGATTCGATCCGATATATTATATATATTTATAAATATATTTTTTTATACTATATTTTTATAAATTTGTTATATTATTTATTTTTTTTATAAAAAACATGTATATATATGATGAAAATAATTAAAAAATACTTGTATTTTTGTTTTTTATTTTATTTAAATTAGTATATGTTATTTTTCTTATAATAATTTATTAATTTAAAAAAAAAACAAGTCAGACCGGATCAGATCTAAAGATCTGACTTAGTGATAGGATTCGAATTCAAATTGAGTCCTATCAAATCAAATCAGATGGAATCCAACATATAGTGTCGGATCGGATTTAAATTGACTTTGATTCGAATCCGATTCAATCCGTTTGCATCCCTATGATCCGATCCCTTTGCATCCCTATGTAGGGCGCTGATGAATATAATTGGCCCATCGTTTGCAACCAACGGAGCGCACCCTCCATGCACATGTCAGTTTTCATCGGGAACTCCCATACTTTTGTCATTGAGTGATGTTCCAATACAGGTTGGGATGTGCTATAGGTGCGCCGGGGGCGCGAATATGATCTCATCCGTACATTCCTACCTTTTGCTTATTGGGCATTCATTTTTCTAGTTGGTTTATAAACAATAAATCAGTTTCCCGCTGGAATACTTTTCGGTTGTGGGAAATCGGAATTCTCTTCATCGAATAAACCGCGATCTATCTTAATAAAACTGGTCCCATATATTTATCTACCGTTGATCACGCATCAGACGTCGTAGAAGAGTGTCTACGTATTTGCTGTTTACTCCAGCCGTTTGTGGTCAAATTAAATTCCAGATCAACGACCTAGATCCGAAAAGTTCTCGGGAAAGATATTTGACAATTGTATTGTAAATTAATTGGTCCCACTCATCACTACCCATTGGAAACAGACACCTCCCACCGTTCTTCTCGCTTTCTTAAGCTCTGCAATTTATTCCTCTCTCTCTGTCTATCTTTTGTGTTTCGAAGCTCCAATGATCAGAAGAACAGCTTCGAGCCCTGAAATTTGAAGCCCAAACTTTGCACTTCAGCAATGACAAGCCCTCCAGCAGAAGAGTCTCTTCGGCAGCACAAGCTGTGTGGCTTCGTCTGCGCTGTGCTCGTTGCGAATTCACCCAACCAGAAAGAACAGAATGGCCAATCCAAAGAACTAGTTGCCGGAATGCGTTGTTACATCTTCGGCGAAGGGTCCGATGTAGGTTTCCGCTGCGAAGATGGTACAATGTTGTCATTGATTCAATGCAATGGAAATTTGTCCCCGGAGAAAGATTCGAAAGAGAATATGGAGATCGGTTGTGGGATTTCGACTCCGGATTCGGGGAAACGTAAGGGCATTGGGAACGAATGCGGTTCCTCGAAGAAGAAGAGGCGGACAATGGGACTCGTGAATGGTAGCATGAGTGTGGTTCATCAGCTTCACGCATTGACAATGCATAAATGCTTGGAGATTGTTGCTAGAGTGGTTAGAATTGCAATTCGTGATAACGGGGAGGCGAGGGCTGTTGTTCTGGTTGATGTGTATTTGCCTATTGCGGTATGGTCTGGTTGGCAGTTCCCCAGATCAGGGTCAACTGCCGCGGCTCTGTTCAGACATTTGAGGTATAAAACTTCTTTTTGTAGCAATTTATAATTTTTGGATATGAAGTCTGTTCTTTGTAGGTCGTTCTATTTTCTATGGTTTCTTCTGTATTGTATGATCCTACCTTCCGAAGGAAAAGTTCCGCCTTTATATCTTTTTCACAGATTTTAAGGGGAACTTCTATATACTTTAATTGACCATGGTAAGGTTTTTATAGGGTGGACAATAAATGGATGCAGAAGCTAGTAAGATTTTGCGCTGTTTTTATTAATCTCCTAAACCTTAGAAATTACTATTTGACCTTCAGCAGGAAGTCACCAAAGATACAGTTTAGGGATTAAGTTCATGACTATAGAATTACGTAAGAAATTTTGTTCTGGTTTTGAGTGTGAACCTTAACTTCCTTGTTTGCAGTTCGATTTAAGTTAACATGATTTACAGACTATTAGTGGTTATAGAAATATGTAAGCACGATTTCATTGTGGTTTAGGGGTCAGCCTCAGCTTCCTAACTTTGATTCTAGTTAACGTGGTTTTCATTTTGCGCCCCCCCCCCCCCCCCCCCCCCCCCCCCTCTGAATCTAAGTGAAATTGCCTTGTTTAACTACATAATTCTCTAATCATGTAATAAGGACTCAAATAAGACCAAACATGGAAGATAGATTATTGGCTGGGGAATGGGGATAGACATTGTTAAGGATGGTTGTGAAGATGGGACTAGGAAAATTATGATGTTTTTGGTGCATAGGTAATTCAAGGGTAACCAAAATAGAGAAGAGGAAAGGATTATTTACTGAGTTAAGTATTGTCTTAAAGTCTTACAGTAGACTTCTAGTCAAACCAAGATTGTAGTCAGAGATACCAATATCCCATAGATCTTTCACCTTTGAAATGAACTGATATAGTAACACCATAATGGAAGCAAACAAGTGTAGGTCGTTCTTTGAGATTCAGGTCTGACCTGGTAAGATCCGATTACATCAAACAGTGAAATGTTGGTTCTAAATCTATTAGTCACTAATGGGTTCTAAATCTGGATGTTGTAGTTTGAAATGCTGAATAACTTTTACAAGGGCAAGAAATCTCTTGCAGATTGAGAACTTGTCTCAGTTGAGGTCAAATGCATTTAGTGATTAACACCATCAGGGCCAAGAGTCAAGGAAAATCTGCAGTAGCAGAAATGTGGGCAGAGTTTTGAAGAACAAAGAATCAATAGCTCAAAGTGAGAAAAAAAAAACAAAATAAACCATAAATACGGAGATGAAAACAGAGCAGACAATCAAGAGAATACTTGATGATAAGGCTTTCTTTAATCAGTAATTCAAATTCTGTATTAATGATAGAGAGGTTTCAGAAAAAAAATACAATATACAGAAGTACAAGCCAAAAGGGAAAAAAAACATAGCCAACTACATAGCCACCTTCTACTCTTCACATGAGAATCCCCCACCCCCAAAGCCAAACCATTTGTATTTATGTCTTCTAGAACTAATGGCATTCTAGAAGAAACCCTAGCTTATACAATCACACCACTTTTAACTTTTTATGAACTTTGGTAATCATTATACCAACCACAATTATATGGCCAAATACATAGGCCAGCTTCTAGTCTCACATGAGAATTCCCCACCCGCAAAGCCAAACCATTGTATTTTTGTTTCCTAGAATTAATGGCATTCTAGAAGAAACCCTAACTTAATAAAATCACACCACTTTAACTTTTTATGTGCCTTGGTAATCATTTGTGCCAACCATAATTTCCTTTTTTTCCATCCAAATATCTTCATTTAACTATACATGGTAATGAGCTTAGGCTTGGATGTGGACTTCAGGTTGATGTTAGGGAGAATGCCAAAGAGTGTTGAATGTTATAACCATGGAATGACTTGGCTCTAGTTTTTTTCCCTTTCCTCATTTATTTTTTGTCATATAAATAAGCATTTGGGTGCATTAAGGGATTTTTTTTTTGTTGGGAGGTGGTTCACTTGAAAAACAATACCTACAAGAATCTATAGAAGAGTTTCAGTGTCTATTATCCGACATGTTTCTTTGCAGAGTAATCTATGAATTCACTTACCACATTAATCTCCTTTTCTTATGTGTCTTGCATTTAGGATTTCTACTTCTTTTTGGATGCATCTGGAATGTGCTAAAAAATGTAGCAGACTTATTCAGCAATCAGCATTTCATTTTCATCACCTAGAAAGAAGAGGGGAAAAGTGAAAAATCATGTTGAGCTGCAGAAGTGGTGCTTTACTTTGGACTATTTGGGAGGAAAGGGCACAGGAATTGTCAAAGACAAAAACTAAACAAAGGAAGCTCTAATTGAAAGCATGTTTGTGAAGGTAGCTTAAAAGCCGTTATCCATTGTTGGTCTCAACTATTTGGGGTCTTGGGAGGGGTGGACTAGATATAAACCTAATCTTTGGCAAAGTGGCTGCTCTCAGACTCAAATATGTGTTCTCATGCTTGTTGGCCTGAGATTTTACCATTGAACCAAGCAATGGCCCCTACTTTTGTAAATGTAGCACATTACATGAAAACATTAAAAATGTTTCAGCCTTTCTCTATTAATGAATAACGATATAATCAGAAATCAGCATATAGTGCCAGACTTCTGGTCTGCAAGAATGATTACTATCAGGACTTGGTCTCCTCCAACCAGGAATGTAATTAAAATGAACTTTGATGGCTGCAGTTTGGGCAACCCAGGGATGACTGGAATTGGTGGTGTCTTTAGGGATATGGAAGACAATGTCTTGGTGTGTTCAGGTCCCATTGTAGTTAGTAAATCCATTAGGGCAGATTTGGTGTCTATGTGCAACATTTAAGGTTGGGGGAGTCATTACATTATACCAATATAGTGGTAGAAGGGGATTCTAAAATCGTATTAGGGTAGTGAAAGCAAAACAATGAAGCCCATAGTTATACATGAATGCAATGATGGAGATAAAAAGGTTGACTGAGGAGATGAGTGTTGCATTCACACAGACACAGAGGTCAGGTAATGATAACTTATATGCTGGTGAGAGAATGCAGAGAAGTGAACAAAGAGATTCTCTTCCACCACTAATATAGTGGTGGAAGAAAATGCAGGGAAGTCTGTAACAGTATGGAGTAAAAGTGGTAATGCTAGCATCCAAGGGATGCACAGCACATCTGTACTTACACCATTCTTTCATTAATTAATAGATTGACCCATTGCTGATTAAAAGCCATTAGGGTGCAGCAGACCAAAATTAATGCATTGTTCTCTTATTCTTTATCTCCCCCACCCTTTTCTCTCTACTTTATTGTTTTCATCATGTCTCCTCAAGTTGAATGGCCTAGAAGAGTACAAGCTAAAAAGGTAATGGGTTAAAGTATGGCACTAAACAGAGTGGAATGGTGAGACAATTCCTTTAGCCAACCCCATATGGTTAGGAGTTGGACAAGGCTTAGTTGAATTGTGTAACTGTATGACTCTTATATTGTTCAAGTGGATTAAATTTCATTCTTGACAGGCTTTACTTATTACTGATACTTTGATCAACTTTTTTTTTTGTTGATAATTGACTGCAGTATACTTTCTTAATGCATACCAGTCTGTATTTAACTCAGTTGTGTATATTGATTGAATAATTCAATTTATTGTCTGCCACACTAACATAATTCAGGAACATGATGCTACAGTTGTGACTGGGAGCAGAGAAGCTTCATGCTCATTGGTGATGGAAATCAGTATAAAATTACCTGTGGGGACAACAGGAACATTTGGAACCATTCAGATTGTCATGCTTTTGGATGTAATGTGCATAGCAATGAACTTGGATCTTCTAAGAAAAGGAGGTTTGATCTTTATGAAATTTTCAAGAGCTTACCTGGTATAGAAAAGGAAGGCAAGGTTTATTCAACAAGAATAGAACCAGAAGATGCATCTCTTAGTTCAGGAATTTGGACCGTCTCAGATGATGTGTTGATTAATGTCTTAACTTCACTTGGACCAATGGATCTTGTCATGGTTGCTGCCACTTGCCGCCATCTAAGGTCCTTGGCTGTATCAATCATGCCATGTATGAAGCTCAAACTTTTCCCTCATCAGCAGGCAGCAGTCGAATGGATGTTAAAACGTGAACGCAATGCTGAAGTATTGGCCCATCCTTTCTATATGGATTTCTCAACTGAGGATGGATTCCATTTTTATGTAAATGCTGTTTCTGGTGAAATAGCAACTGGTATTGCTCCCACTATCAGAGATTTCCGTGGGGGTATGTTTTGTGATGAGCCAGGCTTAGGTAAGACTATAACTGCTCTTTCTCTTATTCTGAAGACACAAGGAACATTAGCAGATCCACCAGATGGAGTAGAAGTAACATGGTGTACACATAATCCTGACATGAGATGTGGTTACTATGAGCTTAGCTCTGGTGATTTGTTACCTGGTAAATTCATGTCATCATGGAGGAGGATTGTAGGTCAGAATGGACGAAGAGGACAAATCTGTGCTGATAAGTTTACTTCTGCAATGAGTTCAAAATCCTTACCAAAGAGAGCAAGATTAGTGCCCTCTGATGATCATAAAGCAATAGTTACATCTTCAACAGATACACCTTCTTTGCCAGCAACACGTGTTCTTCGATGCACGAGGAGTTTGAGTCATGTTAAGAGAAATCTTCTCGATCAATATGAAGGAGCATCAGGCTTTTCAAAAGATAGTAAAGCTAAAAAAGCTAGGAATAAAAGGAGACATAAATCAACTGGCTCAAGAAATGCCCCTCTGGAGAAGCAAGGGATGCCATTGAAACGGCCAAATCTTTCCAAGATGCCTAGGGAGGCTACCAATGAGCTCTCTGAAAATAGTGAAACTTGGGTTCAGTGTGATGCTTGTCACAAGTGGCGAAAACTTTCAGACAAAAGTATCCCAGATGCTACTGCAGCATGGTTTTGTAGCATGAATACAGACCCATTACATCAGAGTTGTGCCATTCCAGAGGAATCTTGGGACTATAAACGGTCCATAACATACTTACCTGGGTTTTACACTAAAGGAACCTCAGGAGGAAAGGAACAAAATGTGTTGTTTTTTGCAAGTGTGCTTAAAGAGCATTATACATTGATAAATTCTGAGACAAAGAAGGCTTTAACTTGGTTGGGTAAACTTTCTCAGGACAAACTCTTGGAAATGGAAACAATTGGTTTGACACGTCCTGTCTTGGATACACGTATTGTTTCTGATGTTGATGCCAATGGATACCATAAAATATTTCAAGCATTTGGTCTGGTAAAGAGAGTTGAAAAGGGTACTGTTCGATGGTATTACCCATGCAAGCTTGTTAATTTGGCTTTTGATTTGGCAGCATTTCGAATTGCTCTAACTAAACCTTTAGATTTATTTAGGTTATATTTGTCAAGAGCAACTCTTATTGTTGTCCCTGCAAATCTAGTGGATCACTGGAAGACACAGATCCAAAAGCATGTCAAGCCAGGGCAGCTTCGTGTTTATGTCTGGACTGATCAAAAAAAGCCCAGTGCACACAATTTGGCATGGGACTATGATATTGTCATAACCACCTTTAATCGTTTAAGTGCTGAATGGGGCCCCCGTAAGAAGAGTGTATTAATGCAAGTTCACTGGCTTAGAGTAATGTTAGATGAAGGGCACACCCTTGGTTCAAGTCTTAACTTGACAAACAAGTTGCAAATGGCTGTCTCATTGACAGCTTCAAACCGGTGGATATTGACTGGAACGCCAACTCCAAATACACCCAACAGTCAAGTATCTCATCTTCAGCCAATGCTCAAGTTCCTTCATGAGGAAGCATATGGAGAAAATCAGAAATCATGGGAAGCTGGCATTCTTAGGCCATTTGAGGCAGAGATGGAGGAAGGTCGTTCGCGCTTGCTGGATCTACTTCAAAGGTCCATGATTAGTGCCAGAAAGAAAGATCTGCAAACTATTCCTCCTTGCATCAAGAAAGTGACTTTTGTGGATTTCACTGAACAACATGCAAAAAGTTACAATGAATTGGTAGTCACTGTTCACCGCAATATTTTAATGGCTGACTGGAATGATCCTTCACATGTGGAGAGTCTCTTGAACCCAAAACAGTGGAAGTTCCGAAGTACCACAATCAGAAATGTGAGGCTATCATGTTGTGTGGCTGGACATATTAAGGTAACAAATGCTGGTGAGGATATTCAGGAAACCATGGATATTTTAGTTGAACAAGGTCTAGAACATGCGTCTGAAGAGTATGCCATGATCAGACGTTATCTCCTTGATGGTGGTAACTGTTTTAGGTATCATTTGGCCTTTGAGATTTCATTTGGCATATCTATCTATGTCATGCCAAATTATAGCCAAGTTAATTATTTTTTTTTGTATGTTTAGGTGTAAAGAGTGGTGTCGTTTACCTATTATCACGCCATGTAGGCATCTTCTATGCCTTGATTGTGTTGCAATGGATAGTGAAAGATGCACTTTTCCTGGTTGTGGATACTCTTATGAAATGCAGAGTCCTGAAATTTTAACCCGACCTGAAAACCCTAACCCAAAATGGCCTGTTCCTAAAGATCTTATTGAGTTGCAACCTTCTTACAAACAGGTAGGTTTATCTCTGAGGATCTATGAAGTTTCATCCATCCTTTGCTCTTTCTTTGTGGCTTTAATTGCTTTCACATATTATTTTCTATGATATACAGGATGACTGGGATCCTGATTGGCATGCAACAACAAGCAGTAAAGTTGCTTATCTTGTTGAAAGGTTGAAAGATCTGCAAGAGGCCAATAGAAAGATAGGCTATTCCACAGATGAGGAGGATGTGAAGCTCTCTAATCCGCTTCTTTTTCTATCTCAGAAAAGACACTGGAACGTGTTCCTCAACCAAGAGGCCTGCAAGAAAACAAGTGTTGACTCTTACAAGTTACTTCCTGAGAAAGTGATAATATTTTCTCAGTTCCTTGAGCATATACATGTCATTGAACAGCAGGTAGCAATTATGTGAAATAGGTGCCTTTTTGCATCTGAACCCCTATGTTTTTGCATGCTCATATCTATCCCCTTCTTCTCTATTTTATGTTTCTTTTATGTATATTACCTGGACTTGTTGCATCCATACATAGAAGACAAAAAAGGTGGTTATTACGTGGTAATGGTAAAATCTTGGGTTAGCAAGTATGAGAATGCAGGGTTGTGTCTCAGAGCAGCCACTTCATAAAAAATGCCTAAGGTTAGGTCCATATCCAGTCTAGCCCTCCCAAGACCCCAGACAACTGGGACCAATATTGGGTAATGGATTTTGTACATATAAGACAAAAAAACCTATTTTCTTTAATTTAAGTTGTCAAGTAATCAAACTAATACAATCTTATTGGATATAAAGTAATAATGAATAACCATAGGTTATTTTGGTGATTCGAAGTCTTGAGGTAAAGGCATGGTGATATAAGACAACTTTTCTTTCAAAAACATGTCATAGAAACTAAAATCAAAATGTAGAATTCAATAAGAATATTTTGGAAAGGTTAAAGTTTAGTCCTGCTTCATAATGCACAATCTGACCCACTGGGGCTCTTTTTCTGTCCCTTTTTTCATAGCATTTTGGGCAGGGCTCCCTTCTGCCCTTAATACATTAATATAGTTCTACTTTATCTTTGATAATTAGCTTGTGTTTGGACTTTCCTAAGCTTTTATACTTCTTGAACCACAAGAACAGAAGCACCTTTGCAGAACAATGCTTTCATATGCTGCATGTTCAAGCATGTCAAATTTGCTGTTACACTTTTTAAGCTCAAAGCATCTTTTTTGTCCTTATGGATTTCAATTTTGCCGTTGTTGCTTCAAAATGACATTGAATCAGTTTTTCCTTATCAAGATGGGGTGGCAATTGGCAGCCTGGCCTAATGAAAGTCTTCTAATTTGCCAATCTTCCTCATCAGTTTTCAGGGCTTTGGTGAAGGTGGTAAACAAAATTGAGAAAATAATTATAAATCTCCTCTAAGATCCAGGGACAATTAAGGGTCACCTGCTAAAGCGGAAAGAGTTATGTAGAAGTAGATCTGATGCAGGTCTAGGATTACAAAGAGTCAAAGCCAAGAACACTGCTCTATTACAAAGACATAAAGACAAGGAAGGAATGGGGGGAGGGGGGGGGGTTTGCCTGGACATACAAATTGGTGATAACCTAATTCTTTTATATTAAAAAGAATATTGCTCTGTTAGGCAAATGGCTTTGCAAGTTTCCAATTGAACCTAATTCCCTTTGGCATTTAGTAATCAAGGGCTAATACAGCCTCAACCAAAATGGTTAGGACTTAGGATCAATAAACAAAGTCACATTGTGGTGCCCATTGGAAATCCATTGGTCCCATTTATCTCTTATTCTTGCAAAATACCAAGAATGATCCAATTTTTTGGTAGGAAAATAAAATTTTGGGAAGATCTCAAGTGGGAGAGTGTCCTATTTAGTTCTTGGTTCCCGTGGCTATACACCATTTTCAGTTAGAAAAACAAATTTCTTCAAATGGTTTGTCTTGGGATATGGACTTAAAATGTGTTTTAGAGGTTCTGATTGTCAGGTATGAGTACCTTTATGAGAAGGGGTTTTAGAGATTCTGGTGCATCAAAGAATGGGGATGTGATAATCTGGCAGGCACCTTCAGGAACAGAAGGGTACTTATAAACAAGTCAAGGCTGTTCCATTTGCAAGGACTAAGGACATTAACTCATTTATAGTGGATTGGGCTCTAGTGCCTAGATATTTCAAAGAAATGAGAAATATAGATTTTGAAGCCAAGTGGGTGGACTTAGTAGGCACTGATTGTTCCTTTTGCTATTCTTATTCTGCAACTTGCCTAGAAGGGTCTCTCATATGGATAGGATACGTATATCTCTCCTTTTTATACATATTTTATATTTATTAATAAAGTTACTTGGCAAGCTTGCCAGCCTAGTCCTGCGTTGGTATTGGGCTGGATCTGTATGTCAGGCCTGGAAGCTAGCCAGGTCACCCCAATACCCCTTATATCCTACTGCAAAGCTGAGATTAGTTCTAAGGGAAGCTTATCCAATTGCAGCCTTAGAATTTGAACAATCAATGTAGTAATCTGTTGGCTTTCTTTATTTTTTGTCCCTGCTTGCAGCAATCAAAGGTTCTAAGGGAAGCTTATCCAACCACAGCCTTAGATTTTAAACCAAGGGTCAGGAAAAATAACAGGGGGTTAGTTGGAATTCAAAAAAAATATGAACAAATAAGGTGATTCACAGTTAGTAATTCATTGGGCAAAGCACCTTAAAGAAGCACCATGGAAATACAGACATGCATTTAGAGAGATTGATATGATTGCAAAGAACTTGAATACAAGTTTCAGCTGGGTGACAAGAACTGCAAACGGGGTAGCAGATACATTAGCTAAACAGGGAGTAAATAGGCAAAGTATTTTCTGGGCATACTTGCAATTGGGTACTGAGGGGTGTTGGGTTTTGCCGACAGATGTATTAAGTTTAAATCTTTAATCTTTAATTATTAATGAAATCCTTTTACTGATAAAAAAAGATTATAATGGAACTATTATACACAGTTTTTCAGGTCCAACAGGAGTAGGTAATTCTTTAAGCTCTAAGTTGATAGTATTCCTTGAAGGTAACAGATTGGCATTGTCTTTCAATCTATCAATTTTGGTTGTGGAAGGTGATTGTCAAGTTAATAGATATGGCACTGAACAGACAGAATGGCTAAATAAGATTCATGTAGCCAACTCCATATGGTTGGGATAAGGCTTAGATGACAACAACGATGATGAAGGTGATTGTTGTAGAGAACACTGATGTGGACCCCACTGTGTTCGTATGGCAGCATATTTCTGTTAGTTATGTCAGTGTTAGTTGGTAGTTATTTCAGCTTTATTATTAGTTTATTTGCCTTGTAAGCAATAAGGGCAATTCAGCCCTTTTACAATTAATCAACATATATAAATATTAAGAGTGGGTCGGCTGATGTCAAGACCAACCCTCTCTCTTTTCAAAATCTCTTCGTGTGCTTCTTCTCTTCTCTCCTCTCTTCTTCTTCTCTTCTGTAATTTCTTCATTCTTTTTCTTTTGAATTCAAGACTGATTGTAGTCTTGATCGACTACTTCGTATCAGAGCCAACCTAAGAGCTCTTATGTTAGTCTAATTAGATTGACTACATGAGAATCTCCTAGGTTTAGAAGTTTTTCAACAAAGAAGGAGGATCGGCTGATTCTTGGAGGTTACTGGTAGTGTGCGGCTGCTACTAAAAAGATTGTAGAAGGCTGGGAGAGTTCCAGTAGTCAGGAAGAATCAGAAAAGACTTTGGCTCCTCAAGATTAGGGTTTTTGCTTTAGACAGGAGGTGGTGGACAGAGATTTTCTTTCATAAAGTAAGTTTTTTCTTGAGAATAACTTTGAAAAAAATCATCTTGGTTTATTCTGAGAGGTGCGGCTGGAAAATCTGTGTTTTTTCTTTAGGGTTTTGAGAGAAAACCCTAAAATTCAGAACTGTTGTTGGTTTCAGATCAGGTTTTTAGCCGGTTTCATACAAAATTCTGTTTTCTTTGTTCTTTGGAAGACCTAGGCCGACTGTTATCAGTTGTTTGGGTGTTGTTATTCTATTACAGTAGTTAAAAAGGTTTTTTTTTTTTTATTAATTCTTGATCAAGAATGGAGTTCAAGAATCAGGTGGAAGGTGTTTTTGGGACTAGAAATTCTGGCGACATGTCTGAGAATGCCTTTCAGATTACAACTGTGAAGTTTGATGGATCAAACTACTTAGAATGGGCTCAATCGGCCATGATGGCCATTGGGGGTAGAGGAAAACTGAGCTACATGTTGGGAGATGTGAAAGAACCAACTAAGGAGGACCAAACTTATACCAAATGGGTTCAGGAGAACTATTTGGTTATGACATGGCTGTGCAACTCTATGCAGCCACATATCAGCCGGAACTATTTGTGGGCAAAAACAACCAAGGAAATCTGGGATGTCATGAAAGAGACTTACTCCCAACCCCTTAATGTTGCTAGGGCTTATGAATTGAAGTGTGAGGTTAACAACCTTAAGCAAGGAGGTTAACAAGCTAGAAACACTTGAGTGGGAAAGTCAGAAGGATGCACAGACTCATATAAAGCAAGTTGAAACTAATAGGGTTTTTGAGTTCCTATCTGGTCTGAATCCTGACTATGATATTGTGAGACAACAACTACTAACAAGGGACAATGTGACCTTATCTCAAGCCTACTCCTTAGTGCATAGTGAAGAGACTAGGAGAAAGGTTATGATGCGGCATCAGTCCTTCCCACCAGCCTTGGCAGCAGTTAAACCTAAGTCTGGGGGTGATACGGAGGGAGATATAAAGAAGGAAGACAAGCAAGATCTAGTGTGTGAACATTGCAAGAAACCTAAGCATACTAAGGACACATGTTGGAAGCTGCACCCTCATCTAGTTCCAGCAAAACTCAGGAACAAAAGGGGTAATGCTAATATGGATGTTAATACTGATTGCGCATCCTCATCGGGCACAAAAGGCACACCTCTGGACACCCTAGCTGCTGTCTGGGCTGCCCTAACTCAATTGGAAAAGGAAGTTGGCAATTAAGCCCAATCATCTCAGCTGCCATCAGCTCCTCCCACATAAGCTTTTGCTTATCATGCTTTAGCTCTAGGTAACATTGAACATTGTTGGGTAATAGACTTAGGTGCATTTGACCATATGACTGTCTTGCCATCACTGTTCACTACCTATCACTTATCTTCAGGTAGAGATAAAGTGTCCATTGCTGATGGTTCCCTTGTTCCCATTTCTGGCAAGGGAGACATCAAGTTGTCTAATACCATTTCCTTATCTTCAGTTCTGCATGTTCCTAAGCTTAATACTAACTTGCTTTCAGTCAATAGCATTACAAAACATTAGAATTGTTTAGTAACTTTTTTCCCTGACCGATGTGTTTTTTAGGACTTGGAGACAAGGAAAGTGATTGGGACTAGCCGTGAGACGAATGGGATCTATCTGCTTGGAGAGAGTTTTCATTGGGAAGATAGTGAAGATAGGAAGTCTTTTGTTTCTCAGTTTGTTAGTTAGGTTATGCTTTGGCATAATCGGTTGGGTCATTTATCCTTTTGGTCTTTGAAGAGTTTGTTTCCAAATTTATTTGAGTCTGTTCAGATGTCCAATTTGAGATGTGAGAGTTGTGAGCTTGCAAAGCATTGTAGAACATCTTATTCATTGAGTAATAAAAGAAGTAGTAATTCTTTTGATATTGTGCATACCAATGTTTGAGGCCCGTATCACATCACTGCTATGGGGGGATACATATATTTCTTGTTCTTTGTTGATGGCTATACCCCTTTTTCTTGGGTTTACCTTATGCGTTCTTGAGATGAGGTTGCTGCTTTGACCTAGATCTTTCATAAGATGATTTTAACCCAGTTTGGGGTCAAAATCAAAATCTTCAGATCCGATAATGCGAAAGAATACTTTACCAACTCATTAGCCTCTTATTTGCTTGATCATGGGATTATTCACCAGAGTACTTGTCCTTATACACCACAGTAGAATGGGCTTGCTGAGAGGAAGAATAGGCACATACTGGAGGTGGCTAGAACTAGAAGCATTATGTTTAACTCTAATGTGCCTATTCGTTTCTGGGAAGATGCTATTCTTACAACAGTGTATCTCATTAATTGAGTTCCTTCACAGGTTCTTAACATGAAGCCTCCATTTACCCTTCTATACCCTGATAAAGAATTGTTTACTGTTCCCCTTAAAACCTTTGGTTGCACTTGTTTTGTTCAGATTCTTGGACCTCATCATTCCAAATTTGATCCGAAATCAACCTGCCTCCAAATGTCTATCACAGGCGGTGGAGGCAGGTTGATTTCGGTCATCAGCGGTCCAGGCCAGCCCCAGTTCCTTCTACTGATCTAGATCCAGGTACCACAATCCCTTTATCAGATCCAGGTCCCACTGAGATACCTTCCACTGTTGCACCCTTACCTCCTTTGGATGACCTTGACCTCCCCATCGCAGTCTGTAAAGGCAAACGGCGTTGCACCACATTCACAACTCACTGCATTTCCCAGTTCTTGTCCTATGATCGCCTGTTCCCCTCTTATAGGTCCTTTCTCACATCCATTGCTGATATTCCTATCCCCAAAACAGTGCGGTAAGCCTTGTCAGTTCTTGAGTGGAAAAATGCAATGAAGGTTGAAATGGATACTCTTCTGAGGAATAATACTTGGGAGCTAGTTGACCAGACTAAAGGGAAGAAACTGGTTGGGTGTAGATGAGTATTTACTGTGAAACATAATACTGATGGTTCCATTGAAAGGTATAAGGCCTGGTTAGTTGCAAAGGGATTTACTTAGACTTATGGTATAGACTACTTGGATACTTTTGCTCCAGTAGCAAAGATGACCACTATTAGAGTTTTATTATCCCTTGCAACCAGTTACTCTTGGCCCTTGTTCCAGATGGATGTTAAAAATGCCTTCCTCAATGGATACTTACAGGAAGTAGTCTACATGCAATTACCTCCTGGATTTTATGATGCAGAGACAGGAAAGATGGTTTGCCGGTTGAATAAAGCCTTGTATGGACTAAAGCAGTCCCCAGAGCTTGGTTTGATAGATTCAGACAAGCCCTTGAAAAATTCGGCTATGTACAGGCCCAGTCATACCATACATTGTTCATTAAGAGAGTGGACTCTTCCTTGACTTTGCTTGCTGTATATATGAATGATATTATAGTGATAGGGAATGATAACAGTGAGATTGAGTCTCTTAAACAACTCCTTCATCAAGAGTTTGAGGTGAAAGATCTGGGAGAGCTGCGATACTTCTTGGGTGTTGAGGTAGCTAGATCTAAGCATGGGATTTTTGTTTCTCAAAGAAAGTATGTTGTAGATCTATTGGAAGAAACTAGAAAGTTGGGTGTTAAGCCTGTAGATACACCTATTGAACAGAATCACAAGATCAGTGCAGAGGGTGGAGAGCCACTTGAAGATAAAGCTATGTTCCAATGGTTAGTTGGAAAACTCCTCTATCTTTGTCTCACACGACTGGGCATCGGTTATGCAGTCAGCGTTGTCAGTCAATATATGCGCTCTCCTAGAACTACTCACCTCCTTGCAGTTGAGAGGATATTAGCATATTTGAATAGGTGTCCAGGTAGAGGTATATTATTCAAGAATAGTGATCACATGAAGATAGAGGTTTATATAGATGCTGATTGGGTTGAGAGTGTTGATGAGAGAAGGTCTACCTCTGGATATTGTGCTTTTGTAGGAGGTAACATTGTCTCCTGGAAGAGTAAGAAACAAAGTGTTGTTTCTCRTTCTAGTGCTGAAGCTGAATATAGATCTATGGCTAATGGTGTGGCTGAAATCCTATGGCTGAAGTCATTATTTGARGARTTGGGTATTGHTTATGAGAADCCMTTAATGTTGTATTGTGATAATCAGGCTGCTATTAATATAGCTCATAATCCGGTACAGCATGATAGAACTAAGCATATTGAAGTAGACCGACATTTTGTCAGAGAAAGGGTTTCATCTCAAGAAGTGTGTATCCCGTATATCACCTCCAACATGCAGCTTGCAGATCTTCTCACCAAAGCTGTTCCAAGGAAGAAGTTAGAGGCAGACCTATGCAAGTTGGGAATGACAAATATCTATTCCCAACTTGAGGGGGAGCATAGAGAACACTGATGTGGACCCCATTGTGTTTGTATGGCAGCACATTTCTGTTAATTATGTCAGTGTTAGTTGGTAGTTATTTCAGCTTATTATTTCATCTTTATTAATAGTTTATTTGCCATGTAAGTAAGGGCAATTCAGCCCTTTTACAATTAGTCCAACATATATAAATATTAAGAGTGGGTCGGCTGATGTTAAGACCAACCCTTTCTCTTTTCAAAATCTCTTCGTGTGCTTCTTCTCTTCTGCAATTTCTTCATTCTTTTTCTTTTGAATTCAAGACTGATTGTAGTCTTGATCGACTACTATTGTCAAGTGGTGATGTCATGGTTCTGTTCACCAGCTTCTGGTCCTTGTGCTTTAGGACATTTGATCTGGGAAGCAAGGGTTAACATGAATTGCTCATTCAAGTTGACCCCTAGATCTGCTAATGGTCTTGCTGATTTGTTAAAAGAACTGAGACTGCAAGAGATGCTTTGGTTTGGGGGTACCCAGGCCCAGGCTCAGGGATTAAATTGTAATGAAGTGTGGTAATAGTGGAAACTTTTTGTTGGGGCAGCCCTAGGCTGTGTTCTATTTTGTTGTTTTAATCCTCATTTCCATCTTTTCAACAACAGGTTTTTCATTTTTAAATCTTTAATGATATCATTAATAGTTATTGATAAAAACTTAGACCTTTCTTCCTGAGCCAAATATGGAGTCACCAAGTCCAACATGAGGCCTAAAATTGAGTCATATCAATTAAGAAAATTCTTGGTAGGTTAAAGGAATTCTGAAAAGATAAGTAGTAAAGGAATTTATACTGATTCAAAAGTTTCAATTATACAGAGTGGCTCTATATTTGTATAGAACTTATGGGATGCCAAATATTTTCCTTGGGATCCATGAAGTTAAACTTAGGAACTAGCTAAAACTTTCTTCCTTTCTCTCCTTAACAACTTCTTTCTCTATGGTGAAATTCTAGAAACCAAAAATCTAATCAACTTGGTGAAATTTCTAAATTCTAGGTGAGCCAACATTTTTTGCTTGAGCCCTGATCTCCCTATTTGGAGTTCTTTTTGTAATCATAGTTTTTCCAAAAGTTGAACTCCTAGGTCCTAGATTAGTTAATTCATCCAGACTTGCATATCTATTTTTTTATCAGGTTTATATATCCATTGTAGATTGGTCATATTCACTCAATTTGTCTCTTAAGTTTATGGTCTTGCTAACTCTCAAACAACACCAAATTCAAGGTGTTTGTAAACTGACATGCCAAAAATTGTCCCCAGGACAAGTGATGGGATATTGACTTTCTAATATAAGATATTCTTCTATGCTTTGCATCTTATAGTAGATTATACAGTGGCTTCCATTCACATCCTACTCATTGTGTTCCTCATAACATGGCTTTGGATTTAAAAAACATAAATGATTCAGGGGGATAAATGTGAAATACAAGAAAGACATGGGGATAAGTATGAAAATTAACATGCCATAACAAAAAAAAAGTCGGTGATTTATTATGGTTCTCCTTTACTATTGGAATGACTTGTGCTTTCCTTCTGGCAGTTAACAGTTGCTGGCATAAAATTTGTTGGAATGTATAGTCCGATGCATTCTGCTAATAAGGTATTTACTATGTACCTTTCCATTCATACCGAATATTTCTGTTCTCTATGGCATTTCAGTAATAATGAATAATGAAAGCATTTGTTTCTACCTACATTGGCATTTTCTGGGGTTTTAATTCAATTTCACTTTTCATAGATAAAGTCATTGACAATATTCCAGCATGATGTGAATTGTATGGCTCTTTTGATGGATGGAAGTGCAGCTTTGGGCCTTGATTTGAGCTTTGTTACTCGTGTATTTCTGATGGAACCTATCTGGGACAGAAGGTATAACTTCTGTTATTTTCTTTTTCGCTTTTAATATCATTAACAGATCAAAAAGTATATTATTGAGTCCATCTCCTCATGTACCTTTCTTATTTCGAATAAAGTTAACCGGTTCTATATATATATATATATTATTGATGTTTCAAAAATCGGAATGATAGAGCTAGCTTGGAGCCAGCTGGCTAAAAGCAGGTTCTCAAGAGCCCCAAGGTTACTATACTGCCAAAAGATAGTGCAGTTGTTTTCCCCCGATGGCAGACACCCAATATAGATTTTCCCTGCTGACTCATTCTCTTGCTAAGGATCAGTTGCACAGTTACTTGATCTTGTCAGTCATCACCATCTAAATATTCTAAACAAGGTTTTCGTATTGTTAAAGCACCCATTTAGTAAGCAAGAGGTCTTGAATTTGATCCTCAATGGAGACAAGGATAATCACAGCCCTTGTTGAAGGGAGATAAACAGCTCTGTGTGTCTATAATTTCCTCGACCAATTGGACCTGTATAAATGATCAAAATTTCTATCACATGGTTCTAAAAAACTCCTATCCTTGACATCCTTAGGTTCCCAAGAGTGCAGCTGTCAACTTTGAGCTTGCCTCTTGTGGGGGAATCTTATAGGCCTAAATCAACTTTGTTCTAGAAGATGATGAAGCCATTTACTGCCATTCCCTTTCAACTTGTGTTTTTCCTTGAGGGACCTAGGGGCTTTGTGTATTTGGGAGGTGAGGGTTGCTTTTGGTCCCTGGTTCTGATGTGTATTTATGTGCTTTAGTTTCTTTTCTATTGTTTCCTCTTTGGCTAGGACCCATGTTATATCTAGGAGACCCCTTTTCTTGTTTTGGGTTGCTGTGGAATCTTGTATTCTTCTTTCTGTCACACAAAACATGTTTTTTTTGCCAGTTTTACTGGTATGCTGATGCTTTCATTTTCCATATTGGCCTGGACTTGAAAATGTGCCATTCAAATCAAAAGTTGCTCCTCAAAATTTCCAACCAAAGACACGATAGTTTAAGCTGTTTTAATGTTTTAAATATGTTGTTATGCTATACACTTCCATAAAATTATTTCATATAAAAACAATTATTTGCCATATCAAACCAGTGTAGAGGAACAAGTCATAAGTCGAGCTCATCGGATGGGTGCTACTCGTCCTATTCATGTGGAAACTTTGGCAATGCATGGTACCATTGAAGAGCAAATGCTGAAATTCTTACAGGTATGACTTCAACAACTTTATGCTTTTATATGTGTTGGCAACTATTTACTAGGTGATAAACACTCTTTCTTTACCCTGTAAGTTATACCTTTTTTCTTTAAATAAATAATCAGTTTCATTAATATAAATAGAAAAATATATGATAGCAGGAACCAAGGAGAAGTAGATCTACCTACCTCCACAATATAACTATTTACATTTGAGCTCAATACAATTGTCCCCATTGACCCCTCGCTTGGCTAACAAATCAGCCAAACCATTGGCAGCCCCTCGGTACCCAATTTATCAAGTTATGCCTTATTTGTTTATTAAACATGTTATTTAGATTGACTTGTCTGTGTATTGACCCTAGTAGGTTAGTTGATGCTCATGTGGAAAGTCATTTAAATGCTGGAGTGACTGGATCCTTGATTTCAGGACATGGACATGATGCATTATCTTTAGAAAAGTTAGACAGGACATATTCTCTTTGGAAGCTCCAAACATTTGCAGGAAATATACAAATAGTACTAGCTTTTAGAAGGTTTGGGAGGACAGCTCAGAAGAAATTAGTGAACTTCATGGTGTCTAAAGGGCTTCATTAGAACACAGAGCCCTGTTTTTTTATTTATTTTTTCCTAAGGGAGTCTAAATAATGTGGGGACCCCTCTTATCAGTTGGGGCTTATGTGGTTTTGGATTCCTATCAGTTCTCTGACTTGTTTTATCCAAAGGAGTATATTCTAACCATTGCCTGGAAATCTTCCATTAGGATGCTAATGAATGTAGAAGAACCATGAAGGAAGAGCTTGGAAGAACTGATTGTGGAGGAGCACGGGTGCATCGTACATTGCATGATTTTGCTGAGAGCAATTACCTGGCCCAGCTCAGCTTTGTACGGACAAATTCTAAAACATAAAGGTATCGAATTTTCATTTTATATTGTCCCTTTCATGAACTAATGTTACGTGGACTTTCTGGAATCTTGAAGATATTGTGAATTGAAATGTATGAATCCTACTTCTGGTCCTGGGGTTTCTGCACTTGAGGCTCAGTTTGGAAAGAATACAAATACAAGGTTTTGCACTGTACATATTTGTATTTGCACTCTTCCCAAACTGAGCCTGAAGAAAAATACCTGGGGTGTATTGCTCAAGTTATTGGTCTGATATTGGGTGTAGCTTTTCCCCTGGGCAAGATGCATAATATTTACGATGCTTTAGTAGTTAAGGAGGATCAAGATACTGCAGACCAGCAAATCATTGTGACTTGTGAGGTAGAGCAATTATTAGGAAATGATCGAATTAGAGCTGTAGCTATGAGTGCTACAGATGGTCCGATAAAGGGAATGAAAGTGACTGACATAGGAGTTCCTCTATGTGTTCCAGTTGAGTGATTTCTGGATGAATTCTCAAATGTTCTTGAAGACCTGTAGGTAGTTTAGGTCCTAAGAGACTTGCACATCTCCAATTCATAGATCTGCACCTGCTTTATACAGTTAGATCCTAAAGTAGCAGATGTTTTAGCTCTTTATCATTATGGAGGAAAAAATCTAATAGGGAGGGAAAAAGGAAAAATCCTAATAGAACCATCAAGGTGGAAATTTTCTTTGACAATCTCATGATATGCAACTATAAAATCTTTCATTCTTTAGGTTTAAATATCAGAATGAAGTTGGGATTCTAGTACTTGATTAATTTAATATGAACAGTTATAAATTAATAGCAATGATTTATTCTTATACTTTTAGCCTGTCCTCTTTTCCATCAATATCACGTTACTTGCACAAAATAAAATATATGGTGTGCAAATAAAAACATTTTCTTTGGAATTAAAGCTTCAAGTATTGGAAAGATATGGAACCTTGATGTGCAAGTCCATGTTTTGTTTTTCAATATTCTAACATGTTGACTTGAGGTGGCAGCTGAAGTTGTCCACATCATGCTCACATATTTGAAAAAAAAGCATAAAAATTCAATATATGGTAGATAATAATCAGTGGTTGATGGGAAAACGGTTGTGTTGCTATCTAACCCAAGGGTTTCTAAAGGCAGTAAACTGAAGAGGAGAAAAAGGAAACAGAATAAGCAAGTAACTTCTTTCCTGCTACATACTCAGAAAATGACAACAATGTGTTCTTGGTCTTCTTCTGTGCTGAGACAAGAATTGATAAATATACATGAATTATGCTTTCTGTAGTTTTCATAATAAGAGTTGTAATTGGAAGAAGGCACTTGGTCTATTTCCATCTGGTCATGAAAATAATATTTTCTCATTGGTACATCCCTTGCTTATTTGTTAGGTATAAGATCTTACATCATTATGGGTGATTTTGCTGCAGGGACTTGATTATTACACTTAGATATTTGGTTGAAGCTTTCTCATCCCTTTTTTGGCATATACAAGTCTCTTTCCCTGTATCTGATTGGTGATCTCTATTGATTCGGGCCAGCAGATGACTTGGACTTGTCCTTCAAGAAGAAATAGCAGCCTCTGACCCAAATCAGTGCAATAGTTATAACTTGGTCTATCGAACTTTTAGGAGTATACTGTCATTGTTATTCTTGTGGTTTCATTCGATGTTGTATGCATGTCAGGAGAGTTTTGGTGGCTATAGCCGCATAAGTTTGAACTAACCAAACAAAAAGATATTACTTCCGAGTCTAGAGCAGGATGGAGGTATGAATTTTTTGCTACTGACCCACCTGGGTGGTGGGACAACACATGCATTGAAACTTGCATTCTATAATTTTCTTGTATGTCATATACAATGGCGGGTATGTATACATTGAACCTATCATTTCAGTTCCTGTACTGTATTACTAATCAAATTACTGATTCTTATTTCTTTCCATCAGTTCTGCTTCTTAGCCAAGTGGACTTTAATGCCATATTTCTTACTAGACCAATGATGTCCTTTTCGGTCTATTCCTAATCCTTGTACTCCTTTGGTGTTCAGTTGCAAGTTGAAGGGGCTAGAAGGGGTAGGGGTAGACCAAAAAGGACAAGGATAGAAGTAACAAGAAATGATTGAAGTGCAAATAATTTAACAAGGGCTTGCAGAATCCATTGGCCCAGGCATTGATAGCAGTACTGGGTTTTGCTTATTATTGTTTTCTTTCCATACTCTCTCGGTTGGGCCATGGTCTATACAAGTATCTTAGAAGGTCCTGATAATGGCCTATTGTGATGTGTAATATGCCAAGGCTATTTGGTCTTATTAGCTCAATATAAATGATCATACGACTATTAACATGCATGGTATGGAGAGAGAGGGAATCAAGTGATTTATTAAGGGTGTATTCGGTTTGCGGGAATAGGGGTCTAGAATTGGAATGGTTCCAACCCTTTGGTTGGGTGGTATCTGAATCCCATTACCCCATTCATGGTGGAATGGAATTTTCCCGCCATTCCCACCCCTCCTGGAATGAGAATCCATTCCAGCTGATTTCAATTTTAATTTTGATTCCCATCTGAACCAAATAGGCGGGAGGAATAGATCGTTTCGATTTCAACTCCTATGGATTTTGATTCCGGTTCTGATTGCAATCCAAACAGTTAGCCTCTATGGGGTTCAAAAAGAGCCCCGTGTGTTTTCCCTATCCACTTTTTCCTAGGTTGCAATCCAACGGTAGGGTTTCCTAGGTTTATATCCACTTTTTCCTAGTGGGACAACTGATAGGGGACTAACTTTTCTATCTGACAGGCTTCTTTAGGTAGGTTTCACTCAAACACTGGACGATGGGGTTTCCTAGGTTTATAATCGCCATGGTTCTGATCTGATCGACCCCAATGACCCTCACGTTGTGTGTGGGTTGTAATAGAGTTCTGTGTTTGATCTTCTTACTGTCGAAGTGATTCTTCCACAATGGAACAATCAAAGGAACTAATGGTGGAGCTCTGCAACTGAGATGAGTCAATAAGGTTTTGCGGAAAAATGAAAAAAAATATCACTTGATTTGGACTGGATTATTAACGGTCCAAGCTGGTATAGATCCAATCTGATCAGATAACAGAATGGATTATTAAGTGTGGTCTATTTTGTTAGTTTCTTCTCTCCGCTTATTCATATGTTGGTCCAATCCAATTCAATAATCATAATGGACGTCCAAATCCAATTTAATCGAATTAGATCTGATTTATTGACAGTCCTAATTGGGCTTGGCCCAACCCAATTTGCACACCTGAAAAAGGAAGGCTAGAACTTCATGGGTGTAGTTTCCTTTCAAATGGCCGGACCAGAGTGACTAGACGATCTAGCGCGTATCAAACTAATTAATTAATTGAAGCCCATTAGGAACAATTGTTTGGATTGGGTGGCGAAATAGCTAAGTCCAGGCCCAATAAACTGTAAAGTGAAGACAATCTCCCAATTTTTTTTTTGAAAGGTGACAATCTCCCAATGGAAGTCCATTATTAAATACAAGTAAATCCAAAACCTAGGTCGAATGTCCCTTATTAATTATATTATTATCCAAAACGCAGAAATACACACAAGTGTACTTCTTGAGACAGGTTCTAATCCAATGGACCTTATTGTGGGCCTAACATTTTCTCCCTTAGGAAATAGGAAAACCGTTAAAAACTTCTGGACTTCTGGTGTAGTGGTGTTGCATTCGTAAAAGGACAAAAAGATGGATGCCGCCTATCTGGCTTAAGTTAGTTGATTTCTTTATTAGTTAGTTGGACACGAGTTGTATTGCCTACTCTCACACAACACGTGAGAGTTGTAACCCTCACGTGTTCCACCATCAACTTTCCCTACTTGACAAATTAAACCCTGGACCTGTTTTTTTGGCGATCCACCCCAATCTGATCAAATCAACTACCATACCAATACACGTGCGAATAACATCCCAATTAGCCATTGCAGCCATACATGAGAAACATCTCCCATGAATGAATGACAAGGGAGGCATCAATTGGGATATGCTCCTCACACCGACTTTACAGTCATAGGAATATTTCTCATAAATAATAATATGTAAATACGGAAGATGTTTCGAATAATAATAAATAATATTCTCAATGTATATCTGCAGTGGACAGTTGGGAGCATTTTGTTGGTAGTATATATATATATATATATATATATATATATATATATATATATATATATATATTGATTTGAATATTATGTTTTACTAAATTGTCATAGTTTCTAGTTTATATAAGTCATTTTTAATTTACTTTTTTAATAATATATAATATTTTGATGATTTTTATTTCAATTTATTTGTACTATTCAATATTTAATTATAATCCAAATTCAATTCAAATCTAATATAAATCCAATGGATAATGTAAATTCAAATTCAAATATTGGACCTATCTATACCCATCCAATTCCATCGACTTGCAGCTCTAATATGTATTTCTTGATTTTTTTTGTATCCTTGGCATTTCCCATTTTTTTCTTTCAGGTCATTAAAGCTAAAATACAAATCAGCCGATTCCAATTTTCCTGTCTGAATAAAAAAACTTTTGTTTCTACTATTCTTTTGAATCTGGAATCCAACGCAACAGCTAATCCTGATTGGGCTAGAGAATGAGGCAACCAAAAACTAGCATTTTTCTGATTGCCACCTAAGCTGCCAGCTGGCTAGATCCATCATCCATGGCTTTCTACAAACTTGTGAACGTGAGAACGTGATTATTGGGGAAGAGGGAAGTAGCCTGATATCAACTGTCCGTTCATGAAAGCATGGACGAGGGCTGTTTGGTAAATTTGTCTCATCATATGCTATCTGTCCTTCCAATCCAAAGTCTCAACTCCCACTCTCCCAGTACAGCGGAAGACAGAAACAACCTCATAAATCATCCTCGTCTTCTGTATAAATTCTTCAACTACTACTTCCTCTCCAACTCACTAGCCAAGTTCCTCACCAAACAAACCATCTCTCTCTCAAGCTGAACATAATGCAAGGAGGTCAAATGGTGATCGAAGAACCAGTTCGACTCGCTTCAGTTCTTACATCTACTATACCTGTAACACCTCTCTCTCTCTCTCTCTCTAGAATGAATCCATTGCTACAAGATCTTTACGTACGTAACATGAAGAACATATGCATTTAAATTTCCGTTCTGCTGAACTTTCTACTCGTTTTTAGTTTTATTCTGTTGCTGTGTTTCTTTTGAGCTCTTATTAGTTTGTTTTCGTCCTGAAACATTATAGATTATTTAACCTGTTCTGTTGCAGTGTTCCAGTGATATTCATCGTTATTGTACAGATTTTCAGATGAATTTTACTGTTATATTGTCTTCTTTGTTCTTATTTAGTTTTTGTTTGGTTTTAATTATATAAGCTATTTTCTCCGGATTTTTTCTTAAGATTTTTAGTATTGATCATCAATTCATCGTTGTGGGATGAATTTGTCAAGCCCGTCTTGTTTTGTTGTTCAGATTCTCTTCATTTAGTTTTTAGAGCTTGGGCTTTGTTTCGTAAGTTCTACCCTGGCAGACTTCTCTGATAAATTATGATGAATATGACGGTTTCCTTAGTTGGATGAGGTTATGGATACAGCTTTATTCCTACCTATCCTCATTATTGACTATGAGCTCTCTTGCTTATCTCCCCCAGCCTACCACGCGAAAGCAGATAAGACAGAACTCTGAATTGTTTTTCTATGCTCTTATTTAAAGATTCATTGCATTTTTTTCCTCTGCAGTAGTATGTTGCTTTTGATGTTCTGCTTTGCTGTTTTTTTTTCCTTAATATCCATCTTAAGGCACTTTTTCTTGTTTGCTTCAATAATTGGAAGTGTTCCTGTAATTGTATTTCATGGTAGTGTAATATAATTCTGTTTTATGGTAATGCTTTATTTAAAACAAAGATTTTTGCTTATGTTTTATGTGAAATCTGCAGAGCTACATCCCATCACTAACCAAAATAGTTGGAACCCTTGGACCAAAGTCACGCTCTGTTGAGGTGATTGAAGCATGCCTAGAAGCAGGAATGTCAGGTGATTTTCATGGATACTTCTCATCAGTATACATTTCCTAGTTGTGATGTAACCCTGTTCTGATGCCCACAATACATTCTTTATTTTCTGGTAGTTGCACGGTTCGATTTCTCTGGGTTGAGTGCAGAGTACCACCAGGAAACTCTTGATAATTTGAGGAAAGCTGTGAAGAATGTTAAAAGGCTATGTGCTGTAAGTTGTCTTTCTTCTCTATCTTTATCTACCATTTCATAAAGTTCCAATATAATAAAAGTCTAGGCAATAGATTTTGTGTTTAACTTTGTGCGGCAGCGCACACACATGTTCATGTGCATACAGATAATACTAATTCTTTTCTGCATAAACAATCCCTTTTCAAACATTAGAATACGGTCCCTACTTTCAAATGAGGTGTTTTATTGAGAATCCTGTCTACTTAGAATTTTATTTAAAGAGTATGAAGCCTTTTTGGTAATTATTGAGTTCTTGTAAAAAGTGCATTATATAAGAATTATATTTTTATGTACAATTAATCACAAGGCTATTAGAAGAGTGTATTAGCATTCTTACATATGAAGCTTTTTATGCTTATTAAGAAAGTAAGAATGGTGCAATATAATTTTTCCATTCATAATAAGAAAAGAAGCTAGGCAACCAAGGCTTGATTGGCCTCTCTCTCCATAACAGATTACTTCTCTATATCCAAAAAAAGAAAAAAAATGCGTAATTTCACTGAGCTTGTACAATCTTTCCAAGAGAAAATAGCTTCGTAGATCTCCACTATAGCTATGTTCTTGGAATAAATTACAACCAATCTAGGGGGTTCATATTGGATGGTACTGGATGCCCTCTTAATGTGAATTTCTTCTTGAGAAGGTAGAATAGATTTATCTTTTATCAACCAGCATAGGCAATAAGGGGATGCTCAAATAACATATTCTTGTACTTTATCTGGATTTACCCCTTGTTTCTGTTCTATCACTATAAGGAAATTTTGGCCAAAACTGAGATATATATCTTGAGATTGCATTTCATGCCGCTTCATAGTCCAAAAGAGACAATTTTATAATGTATTTTGTTTTTTTGGTTAGTGAATAACTAGATGCGATATTTTGTTCTATTTCTAAAAGTTTGGGAGGGGAGAGAGGGAGGCCTCATACATTTCTATCTTCTCATCCTTGTTATGTTTCGAAAATTTTGGGTAAGATTATATAGGTGATTCCTTTTGAGTGATGCTCTGGTTCAGGATTGACCTGGAGCAAAGCTTCAGGAGTGCTATTTTATTAATTCTTTAATGTTTTTTCACACTTACACCTATGAAATTTGGTAGAACATGAATTTTCTTTTTGGTAATGGTAGAACATGCTTTTTCTAGGCATACATGCCTGATGCCTGCATTTAATTTAGTTCATTATTACCAGGTTATGCTAGATACTGCAGGGCCAGAGCTTCAAGTTTGCAATACGACTGGTAATCCAATTGAGCTGAAGGCTGAAGATCATGTTACTATTACTGCAGATGTTTCTAAGGAACCATCAGCTAAGGTCTTAACTGTCAATTATGCTGGACTTGCTGAGGTGTGTATCTGAGTCTGCTAGTAACTTTTCGTTTTGTCATTGGAATTTTTTATATTTTTATAAAAGGTTGCATCTGGTTTATTAGTCCATGCCTTTTTTCTTTATAAATATTATTTTTTTTTTCTTTTGTGGGACTACAGGATGTTAAAAGGGGTGACACTATCTTTCTCGGGCAATATCTTTTCACAGGAAGTGAAACAACCTCTGTGTGGCTTGAGGTGAAAATTTTAGTGAACGCATTCTCCATTGCTTGTTATGAGAAGAATCTGGACGGCCTGAATATGAATCTTAAACTAATATGCTAGTTTTTTATATGCTTTTGCAGGTAGTGGAGACAAAGGGTTCAGATGTCATTTGTTTGGTGAAGAATAGTGCTACTCTTGCAGGATTTATTTTTACCATGCATGTCTCCCAAGTCCATATCAAATTACCTACTTTGACTGAAATCGATAAACAAGTAAGATTTTAATCATTCTATCACTGCCATAAAATGTTATTATGCTTTCCTTATTCTAATTCAATACCTTATGCTCACTTAATTATCTATTTTGTGGAGTTAGATATGTAGTGTGTTGAAGATTAATCAGTTTTATGATGTTTTTTATGAGTAGATGTTTTATGTTAGTTGTTAGATAGGAGGTGGGGACCACAGTAGTTATGTGATTCCAAATTTTATTATGTTTTTGTGTCTTATATATGCTGTTTTATGTCTTGCTGCCCTATAAGGGCATAGTTGTTTTTGTACTGCTCTATTATTTTTAGTATAAAATTATAAATAATAAGTGAAGGGGGCGGCCAGATTATTGCTCTCCTTTCTTTTCAACTTCACTTCTTCTCTTCTCCTTCTCTCTTCCTTCTTTCTTCAAGAAATTCCTTTTATTTCATATTTTTTAATTCAGCAAGCTTTCTACTTGGTATCAGAGTGGCAGCTAGGAAAGCATTCTCATGCAGCCCTAGATTAGCTAACTGCATGAAGTATTAAAGGGCTGATCGATCTACTGTAGATTGCCCAGTTCTTGGATTTTTTGGTGGGATCTAATCATCAGGAAGGTGATCTACTGTTCGACATCAAAATCAGGAAGAACTGGAGTACAAGGAAGAGTCTTGAAAAGTTGGACTCTTTGTTTTTGATATGATCTTAGGTGGCCAGGTATTGTTAGCTTTCTTTTGATTTTCTGAAGAGTGCGGTTTGGTTTCTGGATTTTTCTGAGCCTCCTGGAGTGATCGATTCTCTCTTCTCTTTGTTGGGAGACATGGAGAGGAGAATGATTTCTCTCCAACTAGGGTTTTCTTCTTCCGGAAGGGTTTGTTTCTGTGTGTGTGATATTAAATTATTTTTGGAAGGTTTCCAATCTATTTTTTTCTTACTGTTGAACTGTTTGAAGTAAGATGGAGAGTTGGAATACCGAGATGAAATCTACCAGTACTGTGGGACTGGGTGTTGGAGGTAGTAGTGATATTTTTGGGT